ACAGGCGACCTCTTTGGTCTGTGCAGCACCTGCGCTGGCTGTGGAGAAGGTGGAGAGGCACTTGCTGAAGAGACTGCTGCCTGGAGGACACTGTCGAGGGTGTCACTGGAATAGTGTGAGGGATCAGAGAGCGAGTAGAAGATAACAGGGATGCCGAGCAGGTGCAAAGCAGACAGTGATGCGAAGGGGACCCCCAAGGGAACATAGGCGTTGAGGAAACGTGACAGATGTTGAGCAGGTGCGGAGCAGATGATGAACAGGCCCAGATGTGGACACTAAACAGATTCAGGTGCAGAAGCTGAGCAGATGCAGATGCAAAGACAGAGACTGAGCAGCCGTGAACCCCAAGCAGATCGCAGATGCTGAGCACATGTAGGCACAAGCAATCCTTTTGGTCTGTGCTTAGGATTGGAAGATGTTGGTGGGCATGCAGTCATGCCACCATCCAGGGTGTCCTACTGGGAGGTAGTGCGGTCTTGGGGACACGATTTGAATACCAGCAGTTCTGGGGAGGAGCTGTGACTTGGTGCAGGCAGCCTCAGAATGCAGTTACTCTGCCAGGTTTATGTTAATCTTGACATATGATGAGCTGGAATAAGAGCTACAATGTGGTAATGCAACAAATTTCACTTAATCTCTAGCAGACTGCACTCCATATGGTTATATGATTAGCTCTCAGCTCGGGAGACACCAAGACTCGAGGAACAGAAAGTGCACAGGCTATAGCAGCTTACCCATATTTCAACATTTTTGACCTACTGAAGTGTCATTTGTGAAATTCTAAAAATATATGTCGAAACCAAGTGTTCACAAAACGTTCACCAAAATAACACAGCCACACTATGAACTGGTGTGTTTTGGAGAAGGAAACTGGGAAGGCACAGCAGCAGGGAATGAAGTCAGAGGAGTGGATCTGGATAAAGTAGAGGGGAAAGAGGAATGAAGACGTGGTGCACGAGAAGGAGCAGTGAGGAGGGACTGTGGTTTGGGAAGAATTCCTATGGAAATGAATGAACCTGTCCCATGTCCCTGTAGGACACTCGGGCAAGGTGCTGAGCAGCAAGTTCAAAAGCCCAAGTAGTGCTGAGATTGAATTCCTGGAAGTGGGCAGTGTAGATGCCATCATCCAGAGAAAGAGGGAACTTTGGAATTGGGTCACACTGGGAGAGACCGGCTCCAGACAGGCCGTGGTGTTGAGACGCGCTCCTTTTGAAACCTGGAGAGTTTCATCGCTTACACCATGGCTGAATTTGGCCCCCGTGTCTTCAGAAGTGGCTGATGTTCAACTTTCCCATGACTCTGTCACTGTGCCAGGTGGTGATCTCAGAGTATGCTCCGAGCCAAAGCCAGTCTCCTCCAGGGGGGAAGGGGAGGACTGCTCCATTGAGGGAACTGCGAGGATGATACAGACAAGTCTGAAATGTGTGCACACGCACACTCACACACACACGAAACTGTTCTAGCTCCAAACTGTTAGGCAAGTGGCTCATTGGCTCAGAGAACTCATCCTTCTCAAAGACTTAAGGCTGGTCCTCAGCGAGGAGGGCTGGGGAGCAAAAACAGCAACAGGCAGAGCTCCGTCGTTCTAGGAAGGAAGGATATACAGGACCAGGTTCCCCATCCCTACTCTGAGCTGTTTGGTGACTCACAGAATGGTATTTCTGCTGTGCCTCTCAGGCACATTGCCTGAATTATAAGGGACTTTCTTTCAGAGAATACCTTGATCTTCAACAGCCATTCACTTCAGGGATCTCCTAAAACTCATGGGGGGTTCAGACCCCCTTAAGCATTGACTTGTTTAGATTCAAGCTCGGAGAGCATCTGCAACGGTCCTGCAAATGGCTTTGCTTACCCTCCTGAGGAAAAACAGATGCCATTTTCCAAGCCAGCTTGAGAGACAAGGCAATTAAAGCCATGGGTTACTGGGGCCATGCATCTCTCCTCTCCACGCCCGCTGCCTGCGGAGTTCAGAAGGATCAAATTTTTCCCCAAAGTTACGCAGCTTTGGCATGAAACACCTTGAAGTACCAGTGGCATAGCATGGAGTGAGGCAATACCTGCTCTCAGGCAGCCTGCCCTTTCTTGACATCAAACTCTAACCACACAGCCATCAGCCTTCTTGGGGCTTGCCAGAAACAGAAGCTGTGTAGGATCGGCAGCATGTGGACAATCTGCTTCTCGCTGAGAGCAGTGGTAGGAAGAGGGAAGCTCCCAGAAGGACCTGCTCCCTGTGTCACATTGTCCATGCTGAGAGGCTACTGGTCTTATCGTTGTGCAGTCACAGCTCTGAGCTGTCTGGGCTCCACAGTAATAGCAGGGCCCGATGATGAGGATACATCCTGTCGTGCCAGACACAGACTGGCATGGGTGCACAGGGCATCACAGATTCCCTGTCTCCAGGAGTTGTTACAGTCACTGAGTGTTATGGACTGAAAGAGCTTGCAGGAGTATTGCCTCCAGGCTTTGTTCCATGCTTGGTAGGTGGACATGTCTGGATTACACACACCTGAGCTGGCACTGGACCAAGTTCCCTGAAAAATTACCTTGCCTCCTCTGCCTGTGACCTCTTGCTGAAAGTACTTTGCCCCAGAGCCGTCAGCTTCCTGGGGTGAGACTTGAATCCTGGACACTCTGCTCTGAGAAGCAGGCTCCAACCTCACAGTGTTCAGAGTGAAACACAGAATGCAGCTCCACCTCCCCATCACAGAGGGCTTGTTCCCAGGGTACGAAGGGAACATGAAACTTCTTAGGGAAGGGAAGGTAGCTACTGCTATTTCCACTAGGAACGTCTCCCAAGACACCAGCACCTTGTTGGTGAAGTAGGTAGAAGGCAATGTGAGGACAGCAGGTGAAATACAGTAGATGCAGTAATCTCTTACCAGCATAGCTGCCTAACTTAGCAAAAAATCTTAAGGAGATGATCAACCATAAATTATTTTGTCTTTCACCTGCACTGTGCTGTAGGACCAGATCTGCAGTCCCTAGATAGATTGTCAGATGAAGCACTACTGTTGGAAACTGGGCTAGATTGACCACTGGTCTGATCTAGAAAGGCATTTCTGATGATTACTGGGACACCCCTCATGGACAGGCAGTCAGGCCTGAAATGGAAGGGCAGGCTGTTAACAGTACTATTAATAGGGCTAGGAGTGCAGAACAGCCTAAGGGGTTATTAAAACACAGTATCCATCTAGGTCTAAAACACAGAACAGTTATCAGCATTACACTTAAGTCAGGTAGATGCCTTTGGGCATTTAATGAGGTCAGAGCTTGGGTTTGCTGCTGTGCTTTTCTGTGGCATAAAACCTAGAACTGGTCACAGTGGTGGAGTCCCCACAGTGGGTGTCCTTGTGTGGCTTGATGCACTCTTTGCACTGCAGAGTTGTTGGGCTGAGCATACTAGCTCATGGCTGCAATGAGGTCTGGTCTCCTGGGATTTACTGAACATCCATCTCTTCAATAGCCGCCAGAGACTTTCCTGTATGGGAAAGCTGTTCCATTCAGTAGTAGAAATGACAAAAAACCCGCCAATTAAAGCCCAGTGTGAGCATCTGGTCATTAGCTTATTGAGTAAAACTTCAGCACCCTAAGAACACATCCTTGTAAACTGGCAGGCTCCTGCTTGCTGACTCTGGGTGTAGCACAAGAGGAAGACCTTCATCTTCATGGAGATGACTCTGGAAGTGCAGCAGTGTTGCTCAAAGCAGAATTTGGCATGGGAGGTGACCTGTGTGCTTAGGTGCCCTTTCATGCTAGCCCACCTTCAGAAGCTGTTTCCCTGTGGAGATAGTGGTGGTGTTGTGAAGAGAGGGGCCAACCCCAGGAATCGTAACTCGAAGGTTGCTTCAGCTAGGGCTTCTAGCCTATTTGTCACAGGCTGCAACTGTGGCTGGGAACAGGTGATCATTTTTCTGTTTCTTTTTTTGTTTAAAACCAACTTAAATATCAGCTTACATGAGAGCCCTGTGTTGAACTGGACAACAGTCAGAGGTCTCTGTAGGGCTGCAAACAAACCTGCATGTGGGTGTAGAGCAGGAGCTGCTGTGTCTTGTCTGCAGGAAGCCTTAATGATGCTAGAGCCTTAAATGCTAACAGAGGTCAATAGGAGAGGAACAACAGCGACTACAAAGACTTTTCCATGGGACCAAGGTGGTCCCAATGAAGAGAGGCTTGTTTTCTCTTGAGGACACTGGTTTGGACCTTATAGCTTTTACCTACTCTCATTTGAGGCATCTGTGAAATGAATTTTTCTGCTCAGCAGGCACACATCAAGGCAGAGAATGGCTGCGTTATTTCCTGCCCATGTGTCTGATCTCCACAGGCCTCTCAGCACTATTACTTTGTCCTTGAAGAACGCTGTATCTAGTACTATTCATGAATTCCTTCTCCAGGTCATGAGTGAGAACTGATCTTAAAACTCCGTTCTTTCAGTACACACTGAATAGTCACTGCCTCAAAAAGTCTTCCACACCTCATGCTTTGTGGACACTTGGCTGGCTTTCATTCTAGGAGACAGTATCAAGGTTTGTAAAACTAAGATTCAACGGCAACGGGATTATCTGCTCATGTATCCAGCATGAGCAGAGTCACACCATCATCGATATTGGGAATGGGCCCCACTAGCTGTAAATGAGGTTGCCCCGTTGCGTTGGCTGGGGTTGACATTTTGGATGCAGCAGACTCATGAGCATTAGCAACATTTGATGAGCAGAGTCAGAAGAGATAATATTAAAAATACTGTGGTTGATCTCTACTGATTCTCTGGCTTGTAGCATTGAAATAATGGTGCCAGTAGTGGGAAGATTTTGCAAAATGTCGCAATGTCGACCAAATTTGAGTGAATCCATCCTGTGTTATCTTAGCTAGACAGCCATGCTTCACAGGTGCATTATGTTTGAATGACAGGCCTCTGCTGGAAAGCTCTTTCTCAAACAGCATTTATTTGAGATCCTGTCTCTCTGACCTGTGGTTCTCAGTTCTTCCATCTTTCTTTCTCCTAGATGAGTTGGGCATTTGTCCAAAAGGTGTCACCTCCAACGTGTTCCGCTTTAACGTGTCCTCGGCAGAGAAGAACAGCACCAACTTGTTTCGGGCTGAGTTTCGGGTGCTGCGTGTGCCCAACCCGAGCTCCAAACGCAGTGAGCAGCGTATTGAGCTCTTCCAGGTGAGTATCCTTCTTACCTTCCCCTGTGCCTGAGCCTAGAATAGCTTGGCTCCTTAATGGTTGCCTCAACTGATATGTGCAGGGCCACAGAAGAGAGAAGAAATCCCATGCTATACTCCAGGCTTCTTCCAGCACATGCAGCAATACAGTTGCCTTTCTTTCCTTCTACAGTGTGGTGCTGTCCTTTCCTCTCTCACATTGGCTGGCTGCTCTGGGCACCCTGGCATGTTGCCCACTGCAGCTCTTTGCTGCACTGAGAAGGGGGTTGGAAGGGGAGACCCTCACCAGTGGAGCAGCCCTGACCCTTCTGTCACATCTGCATGCCTAGGTCCCTTGACAGTTTTGTTCCTTTGACTGTCACAGTACAGTTGGTGCTAATCCAATGGGTGGAGCTCTCTGTCTTGTCACAGATATACTGGAAAAATAATGCTTGCTTTCAACATTCCCTTCAGCAGCAGCTCCTCAGGGGCACAATTCATGGCACCATTAATTCAGGTACTTACCTGGAGTTTGGTTTGAAGCCATGGACTCTCTTGGCAGAATAAGGTCTGGTTCAGGTCTGGAATTGGTCTTAGGGTGGGCTGGACCACTCAGCTCATGGTACAGTTTAGCATCCAGGGAGCACATTTCCACAGGGTCGTGTCTGTCCAGTTTGCAGTAAAAGTGCAGCTAAAATTGCCCTGTGGCTGGTAGCTCTTGAGGACTTCCTGGAGCTTAGCTTCAGAGGTCAGAGCAATTCTCTACCAGGTGACAGAACTGACAAGGAGGCAATCCTTGAGCTTCTCCGTAGGTTCAGTGCTCTGTGGAGTGAACGTGGGCTCCTGCAGGAAGGAACACCTTGCACAGGCTGTGGCTGTTTTCTGGAAGTGGGAAAAGACGTCAGAGCAAGAGGAGAGGTCTCCCTTTGATGTCTTTGATAGAAGTTGAGGTGTAGTACATGAAAACACCACATTGTAGGACTCAATAGGCTCGCTGGGCAAGGAACCTGTGGAACAGGTTGCCCAGAGAGGTGCTAGATGCCCCATCCCTGGAAACATTCAAGGTCAGGTTGGACGGGGCTCTGAGCACCCTGATCTAGTTGAAGATGTCCCTGCTCACTGCAGGGGGTTTGGACTAGATGGCCTTTAAAGGTCCCTTCCAACCCAAACTATACCATGATTCTATAAGATGCTCTATTGCCCACTGCTGGTTTTACTCTCAAATCTAGACCCACATCCCACAGGTGCATACAGAAACAAAGCCACCCATTACATCAATTGCTTTGTGCTTCTGCCTCTGGATATGTACCCCAAAACAAGGATGAATTTAGAGAAGTGGGCTGCTTAGGACACAGAAATAAGCGTTGTATAGGTCTCTGGAGTTCAGGTTGGTTGCGAAGTATGTCCTTCTCGCTTGTTCCAGGGTATTCCTGGTGTCTCACTTGCCAGGACCAACCTTCTGAATTAGTTTTTAGCAAGCTGTGGAAGAAAATAGACCCAAGGCTATCCCTTCCTTATGCGCGGCAGTGGCTGATTCTCTCTACCACTCCTTTCTGATGCAGATCCTTCGGCCGGATGAGCACATAGCAAAGCAGCGCTACCTCAGTGGCAGGAATGTACAGACACGGGGCTCCCCTGAGTGGCTGTCCTTCGATGTCACCGAGACTGTGCGTGAGTGGCTTCTGCACAGAGGTAGGGGTCTTAGCTGGAGTGGGTGTCAAGGCACTCATAGAAATGTGGGTCAATGTTGACAGGAATATCTCTCTGTTCCCCTTGTTGCAGGAGCTTGGCTCACATAGAAGACAGCTTCTTTCAGTCTGAGAACAAGCCTTCCCCCAGAGAGCTACCTCAGTGCATGACATTTGCTAGATTCCTAACTGTCCTGGAGCCCCCACTGTGTAGCTCTGTGGGCTGAGTCAGAACGAGGATTCATCCTCCAGAGGAGGAAATTGTTTTCACTGGAAGATGCTGGAACTTCTTTTGGTTCTTTGATTCTAAGCCCAGAGGGGACCCCTCTGCTTGCCTAAACTATAATTTGTAATACGTAGAAAATGAGGATTGCTCTGGTTTAATTTTCATGTGTACTAGAGCAAATCTAGTAGGGAAAAACCAGCAAGGATCCTGGTTTCTTTAGCTGTTTACAGCTTGGCAGGTATAAAGGTGAGGAAATACCAGAGGCTGACACACCTAGACAGATGGAGGCTTTTGCACTGCAGAGAACATACCTCTGCCACCACTGGGCAGCCCAACAGATACTTATGGGGCAGCTCCCAGCAAGAACACTGACCCCATTCACAGCTGGAGCATAGGCACCGTGACTCACAGCTGGATCGGCCTCACAGATAGAAGCTAGGTGCCACTGAAAACTGGAATGCAGGTACTGGCAAGCAGCCGCTCCCTGGAAGGGTAAGCTGTGAGCTTGTAGGCCCCTCCTTTTTCAAGCGATCTAAGTTGTGTCCTGATGGCTGGAGTTCAAGGCTGGAACTGCAGCGAGCTCTGGGCAGGCACACTAGCTGACAAGACATCACATATGTAGTGCTTAGGAAAAAAGGTGCTAGGCACCTTGTCAATGCCCCGGGGAGCCAGATGTTTTAATTCATGACACAACATAAAAAAGGAGCTTTCATAAGAGTCTCATGTTCCCTTAGTCAGGCCCACACAGCACGACTGGTCCAGGAAGTTATTATGAAAATAGACTTGCCTCTGGAAAGTCTGTGTGACTTAGCTAGCAGTTCAACAAAACAGGAGGTTGCAGCTGCTGAGAAAAATGCTTCCAGTGAAATTACATGTCCATATCCAACTCGCTCATTTTCAGATCTCCTTCAGACACTAACCAGAAGCCAGATAGTAGACAGGTACTAAGGATGGCAAAACTGATTTAACACAGACACCGCAAACCAGCTTTTCAAAATACTTGTTTTCCAGTGGAGCTCCTTGAAGCTCACAAATGCTTTTGGATGCTGAATAGCCTAAAAAACATAACCAGGAGCACCTTTCTCACCTCCCCAGGGAGGTCCCTTTAGCAAAAGCAAGGCTTTTGGCACACATGAAGCCACAAGATTCTGCTTCCCATTCTCCTTTCCAAGGCAACTTCTGTTCCCCAACTCTGATAGCATCCCTGACTTTGAGACCAACCCATAGTCTAGGACTTAACCACTGTACATGTCTTCAGTGAAACTTCCTTGCACCAGCAGCTATCCCAGATGAGGAAGCCTGTTTCTCACAGAGTCATTTTCTTTGCAGAGTCCAACCTTGGCCTGGAAATTAGCATACACTGTCCTTGCCATACTTTTCAGCCCAACGGGGATATCTTGGAGAATTTGCACGAGGTCTTGGAGATCAAGTTCAAAGGTGATAAAGAGCTGGGTTAGGGGAGGCTGTTGGGGAAGGGAAAGCCTGGAGTATCTTAAGGAAAAGTGATGTCTTGTTCTTCATATTTGAGCATTTTACGTTGCGTACCATTTGTCTTAAACATACACATCTGGGTTTGCATGTTGATTATATGGATATGTCCACTTTGTACAGATTAGAAATGGGAGAAAGGAAGTGCAGGCTGGGTGGATTTGCACAAGTGTCTGCAGAAAGGAATAATCTTGTATTTCAGTGTCTCTCCGGGAAGTTCAGCTTGATGCCTTCTCAGATTTCCACAGAGGCTCTGCTTTCCAGTTCGGGTGACTGAAACACAAGGAAGTCAGGCATCCCGTGTGAGGTGGCCCAGAGAGTCAGTGGCTTGGCTGGCCTAAGAACTAGGAACCTCCTGGCTTGCAGCCCTGGGCTGCAGCCACTGGCCCCCACAGGCTCCATTTCTGAGGCTGTTCTGCAGAGTGCCAGTGATCTGACATCTTCTTTAAACCATTCATCTTCCTGCCTGTCCTGGGACTGAAGCCAGGAGTGAGTGGGATGGATTAATGGCCCCACCAGCAGTTTGCAAATGGTAAAACAGGTGGCCCATAAGCCTCTATTTCAGGGCTGCAGCAGTCAGATTGACGAGGAGTAAAAGGGTCCCTGTGAGGGAAGAAGTCCCAGAGTAAGTAGACGTGGTGTCTGGTTCACCCTGGTTCAAGGGCAGGCATGAGAGTGTTAAATGCACTGAAAAGTCTTGTTGCATCCTCCACTTACACACTGATGACTTCTTTGTGGATCCTGTTTTTCTCTAAAGGCATTGACAGTGAGGATGACTATGGCCGTGGGGACTTGGGGCGCCTGAAGAAGCAGAAGGACTTGCATAATCCGCACCTCATCTTGATGATGTTACCCCCACATCGCCTGGAGAGCCCAGCATTGGGAGGCCAGAGAAAGAAACGGGCCCTGGATACCAACTACTGTTTTCGGTAAGTGAGAATCCTGCCCAGAGTGACCAAGTCCCACACCTGAGGTGAGCAAGCCTGGCAAGACTCCATGCCACCAGGAATGGCAGAGCCCTCCAAGGGGGTTGTGGGTCACCGTGGTCCCACAAGGGCCACATGAGGAGCACAGCTCAGCCAGTTGCTCCTCGTGGTGTCCAAGAAGGGGACACTGGCCAGCTCAGCAGAGTCACTGTGTGCTTCTGGCTGAGCCGCTGGATAGAGGGAGACTTGCAGGTGGCTTCCTGTAGCACAGCCTGGGCAGGGACCCACAGCAGCCCCCCGCTAGCTCCAGGTGCCAGACAGCAGCCATGTGCTGCTGTGGGCGAGCAGGATGCTGCCTCCCTGGGCCAGTGGTTAAGCTGCCTGACAGCAGGCATGAACAATACCAGGCTGCTGAGCTGCCCGCCAGTGCTCGCCCCGCCGCTCCTCTGCACTTGGCGCAGGCAAATGCCACATCCCTCTGGGTGCTGCTGGTACTCGTCCTTCTGCTCAGGAAGCTGCAATCGCATATAAGGCCCCTCTTTAGATTCACTATGTTTTGATACTGTGTTTCAGGAACCTTGAGGAGAACTGCTGTGTGCGTCCTCTGTACATCGACTTCCGACAGGACCTTGGATGGAAATGGGTCCACGAGCCTAAGGGCTACTTTGCTAACTTTTGTTCGGGCCCTTGTCCATACCTCCGCAGCGCAGACACCACTCACAGCACGGTACATCCAGCGTATTATCCTGTCAGGGCTTGTGGCTGTGACTCCCCCTTTCTCCCCACATCTGATCATATCCAGTCTTCAAAGCAGCAAAAGCAGTTCAGATGGTCCAAGGAAACT